GTTGCAAAAGCAGCAGACCAGTTAGACTGAACACCTTAAAATTTTGGCGAAGACGAAGATAGTTTAATCCCAAAGCATTTTTTACATACTTTGAATTTTAAAATATTCAAACATATATCTGTATAAAAAATTATATGGATACCTGTGACAGAATCCTAATTGTGGATTGCAGTTTATAACCTCCATCAGGTAGAAAGTGCACTGGATTGAAAGCTTCAGACCTGGCTTCTTGCAGTAGATACTTCATTCGTTAGATTTTATAATGTCTTCAGGCATCAAGTTCCTTATTTGAGAATAGAAAGAGTTGAAGATTTTTGTTGGTTTTCTACCATTTTTTTCTGAAGACTATGCTTGAGTATTATGAAAATTCTCATTATTCACAGTGATTAACTATAGCACTGAATCTTTCTGGGCAGGGATATATTAGATTTTTTAAGGTATAATTTAAACAATAATCTCCCAGGTCCTGATTTCATTTTGTCTGTTCTCCCAGGTCCTGATTTCATTTTGTCTGTTCATAGAGATTTATTCTCTTCTCCTTTCTTCAGTATCTCCCTCAATCTCCACACATGCAAACATTTGGAAAACACTGGATTATGTAGAAATGATCTATATAGGCTCTTTCAATGCCAAATTTTTCTGGATAAATATAGCATTTGAAATGAATAAAGTGGAACAACAACAAAAAAATCCCACAAAGCCAAGAAAAAGGAAATTGGCAGAATATTCATAGGCGTACCTATGAAAAATCTGAGAAGAATTTTAAGGTAAGGAAGAACATTTGATAGAATTCTTTGATATCTAACACATAGAGAGGAGAACTGTATGTAAAAAGAGCCATGATTAAGTGACAGTGGAAAGAAGATTAGGTAGAACAAAAAGAGGATGAAAAAACTGAAAAAATGTGAGAATTGTATTAGTTTTATATTCCTGATGTAACAAACTACCACAAATTCAGGATGTTATAATTCTGTATTTCAGAAGTCTGATATAGGTTTTACTGAACTACAATCAAAGTATGGGCAGGAATTCTTTCTTTTCAGGGGCCTCTGGGAGAGACATTTCCTTGCCTTTTCCATCTTCTAGAGGCTGCACACATTCATTGATTTATGAAGATGGTTCCTCCATCTTCAGAGCCAGCAACATTGCATCTGACTCTTTTTCTGTAGTCAAATACACTTATGACCACAACTAGGAGAACTTAAAACATTTAGAGACTCAGATAGTCCAGGAGGTTATTCATTAAATCGCATCTGCAAAGTTCCTTTTGCAGTATAAGGTAACACATTTGCAAGTTCTAAAAATTGGAGCTTGGGCATCTTTGAGGGGGAACATTATCCTGCCCACCACAGTAACATACTAAATAAGTCCATATTTGAGGCAGTAAAGAGTAGAACTGATGTTATAGAAAATTTAATGTGTGGATAACAGACTTGAAAAGTTACCCTAGCTAAAATACTGAATGCATGAAAAGAAAACTGTGTTTGGAGAAAAAAGAATGAAGTCCATTATATGAGCGCTTGGAATTTCTGATAATTGTACCTAAAGAAGAGAACAGAACAATTCAGAAACATGTAATAAGCAAAGAGATTGTTGTTTTTTGGTTGCTAAGTCATGTCTTACTCTGCGACCCAATGAATTGCAGCACGCCAGGCTTCCCTGTCCTTCTCTATCTCCTGGATTTTGCTTAAACTCATGTCCACTTAGTCAGTAGTGCCATCCAATCATCTTATCATCTGTTGCCCTCTTCTTCTCTTACTTTCAATTTTCCCAACATCAGGGTCTTTTCCAATAATTCAGCTCTTTGCATCAGGTGGCCAAAGTATTGGAACTTCAGCATCAGTCCTTCCAATGAAAATTCAGGGTTGATTTCCTTTCGGATTGACTAGTTTGATCTCCTTGCTGTCCAAGGGATTCACAAGAGTCTTCTCCAGCACCACAGTTTGAAAACATCAGTTCTTCAGTGCTCAGCCTCCTCTATGGTCCAACTCTCACATCCATACCTGACTACCAGAAAAACCGTAGCTTTGACTTTATGGACCTTTGTTAACAAAGTGATGTCTCTGCTTTTTAATACATTCTCTAGGTTTGTCATAACTAGTCTTCCAAGGAGCAAGTGCCTTTTAGTTTTGTGGCTAAAGTTACCGTCCACATTGATTTTTGAGTCTAAGTGAATAAAACTTGTCACTATTTCTACTTTTCCCCCAACTATTTGCCATGAAGTTGTAGGACTGGATGCCATGATCTTTGTTTTTTGAATGTTGAGTTTTAAGCCATCTTTTTCACTCTCCTCTTTGACTTTCATCAAGAAGCTTTTTAGTTCCTCTTTACTTTCTGCCATTAAAGTGGTATCATCTGCATATCTGAGGTTCTTGATATTTCTCTCAGCAATCTTGATTCCAGCTTGTGCTTCATCCAGCCCAGCATTCGCATGATGTACTCTGCATATAAGTTAAATAAGTAGGGTGACAATATGCAGCCTTGATGTATTCTTTCCCAGTTTGGAATCAGTTCGTCATTCCATGTTCACTTCTAACTTTTGCTTCTTGTCTTGCATACAGGTTTCTCTGGAGGCAGGTAAGGTAGTCTGGTATTCCCATCTCATTAAGAATATTCCACAGTTTGTTGTAATTCACATAGTCAAAGGTTTTAACATTGTCAATGAAATAGAAGTAGATGTTTTTCTGAAATTTCCTTGTTTTTTCTATGATCCAGCATATGTTGGTAATTTGATCTCTGGTTCCTCTTCCTTTTCTAAATCTAGCTTATACATCTGTAAGTTCTCAGTTCATGTACTGCTGAAGCCTCTCTTGAAGGATTTTGAGCATAATCTCGGTGGTATGTGAAATGTGTGCAATTGTATAGTGATGTGAACATTTTTGGCATTGCCTTTCTTGAGATTGGAATGAAAACTGAACTTTTCCAGTCCTGAGGCCACTGCTGAGTTTTCCAAATTTACTGGCATAACGAGTGCAGCATGTTAACAGCATCATCTTTTAGGATTTGAAATAACTCAGCTGGAATTCCATCACCTCCACTAGCTTTGTTCGTAGTAATACTTCTTAAGGCTCACTTGATTTCACACTCCAGGATGTCTAGCTCTAGGTGAGTGACCACACCATCATGGGTCTCTGGTCATTAAGAGCTTTTTTTTGTACAGTTCTGTGTATTCTTGCCACCTTTTGTTAATCTCTTCTGCTTCTGTTAGGTCCTTGCCATCTTTGTCCCTTATTGTGCCCATCTTTGCATGAAATGTTCCCTTGAAATCTCTACTTTCCTTAAAGAGATCTCTAGTCCTTCCCATTCTGTTGTTTCCTCTATTTCTCTGCATTGTTAAGAAGACTTTCTTCTCTCTCCTTGCTGTTCTCTGGAACTCTCCATTCAGTTGGGTATATCTTTCCCTTTCTCCTTTGCCTTTTACTTCTCCTCTTAGCTAATTGTAAGTCCTCCTCAGAGAACCACTTTGCCTTCTTGCATTTCTTTTTCTTGGGGATGGTTTTAGTATCCCCTTCCTGTATAGTGTTAGAAGTCTCTGTCCATATTTCTTCAGGCACTCTGTCTACCAGATCTAGTCCCTTGAATCTATTCATAAGAGTTTTGGTATATTCATGAGTTTTGATTTAGGTCATACTTGAATGATCTACTTTCTTCATTTGGAGCTTGATTTTCAATAAACAGAGATAGCAGGAAATAAAATTTTCTGAGCTAAAAAAGATCAATAGATGCAGAAAGGATATTTCTTATAAGATATGACAACTCAGAGACACAGTGTCAACAGTTTTTCAACTCATAATGATAAAGGAAAAAAATCCTTCCTATATATAGGAGAGAGGAGAAGTTAGTGCATTATTGTCAGGAAACCAAACTTAATATGGTTGCAGACTTTTTTTCTGTAGTTTTAAATACTAGATGACAACAGAGAAATATGTTTAGAGTTAAAAACAAAATTCCATGCCATTTGTTTTGTTCACACACAGCAACAGAAAACCATTCTTAAGTATATAAAACCTCTAAACTATGTACTTTTTACTTCTGGAGGGAAAAAGATAAGAAGATGATACAATATAAATGCAAAAGCAATGGCATATTAAAAATCAAAGCATGATATATCATAGATTTCTAGGATATAGAGTGGCTTTAAATAATTAAGTCTAATTAAAAATTTAAATGAAAAAACTGCATGAGAAGATATATAATATAAAAATTTATTCAGCAACAATAATCTAGATTTAAATAAAACATGTAATCTTCTGATTTATTTATACTGGAGATGAAACCTGGTAATTCAAGAGTATGACTAAATTAAAAAAATACATCCAGCAAATTGTGACCCAGGCCCACCCACATCTGGCTTGTTTTTATAGAATCCAGGAACCAAAAATATTTTTTGCTGTTGAGAAAAAATTGAAACAATAATTTTTACAAGGTGAAAGGAATATGAAATTCCAATCTTATTGATTATAAATAAAGTTTTATTGAAACACAGTTAACGCTCATTTGCTTGCATGTTGTCTGTAGCTGTATTTGCATTAAAATAGCAGTTGTGAGTCATTGCAACAGTGATGTAAATGTGGTGCTATCCTTGCTTTGCACTGCTTCTCAGAGCACTGCAGATCAAAAGGACAAAACTGAGTTATAATTTGATTTTGCCCCTTCACCTGAAGAGCCTAAAGTATTTTTGATCTGACCTTTTACAGAGCAACTTTGCAACTCCTAATCTAAACTATGTATATGAACTTTGGTGTGTAAGACTGAGACTTTGATTTCAGTCCATAGTACCCAAATTTACTCAGCTATTGCCCTTCAATATGCTACTTACTGTAGCATCTCTTTGGTCTTATATGGACTAAGGTTAAAACCAGGTATATTATTCTGTATATTTGATCACTTAGATTTTCTCTTTTTCATCTCCATGCTTTAAATGAAACAAAATTCATGTAAAGATTTAGAATATCACTTCCACAGGCAAAAGTCACTTAATACTGCTGTAAGAAGAAAAAATGAATACTTTACTATGGTATGCCAAAATCATACGTGCTTTTAGAGATAAGCACATACCACATTTAATAAGTTGGTGTGTATCAATCATTTGATCAGCCTATACTTCCAGCAAGTATAGGTGAATTATTTCAGAGGAAGTGGCATTGAAACGCAGTTTTGAAGGGTGCCTGTAAATTCAAGGTGAATGAAATTCTGTAGCTGGAACAGAATTTGGAAAAATAGTGGCTGGAGTTGAGACAATAAAGACCTGCTAGTCAGGGCCAAGAAGCCTAGTATATGTCATGCAAAACAGTCTTCATCTTGTAGGCAATGAGGATCCATTTCAGGTGTTTGAACTGTAGAGAAACATGATCAGATTAGTATTAATAATATTTAGATATTGGTTCTTAAATTTTTCAAATATAGCCCTCCCCAAAATTTTCCTTAGAAAGCATCACTACGAATAAAGCTAGTGGAGGTAATGGAATTCCAGTTGAGCTATTTCAAATCCTGAAAGATGATGCTGTGAAAGTGCTGCACTCAATATGCCAGCAAATTTGGAAGACTCAGCAGTGGCCACAGGACTGGAAAAGGTCAGTTTTCATTCCAATCCCAAAGAAAGGCAATGCCAAAGAATGCTCAGACTACCTCACAATTGCACTCATCTCACACGCTAATAAAGTAATGCTCAAAGTTCTTCAAGCCAGGCTTCAGCAATACGTGAACCGTGAACTTCCAGATGTTCAAGCTGGTTTTAGGAAAGGGAGAGGAACCAGAGATCAAATTGCCAACATCTGCTGGATCATTGACAAAGCAAGAGGTTCCAGAAAAACATAGATTTCTGCTTTATTGACTATGCCAAAGCCTTTGACTGTGTGAACCACAATAAACTGTGAAAAATTCTGAAAGAGATGGGAATACCAGACCACCTGACCTGCCTCTGGAGAAACCTATATGCAGGTCAGGAAGCAACAGTTAGAACTGGACATGGAACAACTGACTGGTTCCAAATAGGAAAAGGAGTTCGTCAAGGCTGTATATTGTCACCCTGCTTATTTAACTTATATGCAGAGTACATCATGCGAAATGCTGGGCTGGATGAAGCACAAGCTGGAATGAAGATTGCTGGGAGAAAAATCAATAACCTCAGATATGCAGATGACACCACCCTTATGACAGAAAGTGAAGAAGAACTAAAAAGCCTCTTGATGAAAGTGAAAGAGGAGAGTGAAAAAGTTGGCTTAAAGCTCAGCATTCAGAAAACTAAGATCATGGCATCTGATCCCATCACTTCATGGGAAATAGTTGGGGAGACAGTGGAAACAGTGTCAGACTTTATTTTTGGGGGCTCCAAAATCACTGCAGTTGGTGATTGCAGCAATGAAATTAAAAGATGCTTACTCCTTGGAAGGAAAGTTATGACCAACCTAGACAGCGTATTAAAAAGCAGAGACATTACTTTGCCAACAAAGGTCCACCTAGTCAAGGCTATGGTTTTTCCAGTCGTCATGTATGGATGTGAGATTTGGACTGTGAAGAAAGCTGAGTGCCGAAGAATTGATGCTTTTGAACTGTGGTGTTGGAAAAGACTCTTGAGAGTCCCTTGGACTGCAAGGAGATCCAACCAGTCCATCCTAAAGGTAAGTCCTGCGTGTTCCTTGGAAGGACTGATGCTGAAGCTGAAACTCCAATACTTTGGCCACCTCATGTGAAGAGTTGACTCATTGGAAAAGACCCTGATGCTGGGAGGAGTTGGGATCAGGAGGAGAAGGGGATGACAGAAGATGAGATGGCTGGATGGCATCACTGACTCGATGGACATGAGTTTGAGTGAACTCCGGGAGTTGGTGATGGACAGGGAGGCCTGGCATGCTGCGATTCATCGGGTTGCAATGAGTTGGACACGACTGAGCCACTGAACTGAACTGAACTGAAAATTCTCCAATGTTATGACTTGTAATTTCATGCGGCATAAGTTGCCTTGAGATATACCCATTTGTATTCTATTTATAACGGTTCTTCCTTGAGGGAGATATACAAACAATCCCCCAATGTCTTTTTTCCATTTTACAGATGTAAAATGTATATCTCAGATAAAAGATCTGAACACAGCTCTTCCTTGTAAAGGAAAGTGAGTGAGTTCTTTGATTAGATAGATTTGAGTTCAATTCTCTACTTTTTCTTTGTTAACTGTGCGTGCTTGAAAAACTCACTTAATAATTAGAAACCCTGGTTTTCCCAGTTGGATTTTATTGTATTTATCCCACAGGAATATTATGAGAATTTCTGATAATGCATGTGACATGATTAACACAATAAATGGAAACTGCTGATATTTTTATTATTGCTAATGTTCATCATCATCATTATAAGGGTTCAACACCCATTATTCACATTTTCAAAATCCAAAGTTTTGAGAAATTATTTTTCCCAAGATTTTCACAAATTCATTTGATGCAAATCAGCCTTGAAGTGACAGGGGATGACTGATATAGTACTTACTTTTTTAGTCAGTGTCAGTATTGATAAGATTTTGCTGTGAAGTATTGCTATGCTGCCCCCATACGTGTTATATAATTATAGTAGCTATGAGACATAGTTCCTTTCTGTAGTCTCCAAGACACATCTAGCCCAAGCATTTTAGATAAAGACTACAGATCTATATTATGATTCCTTTAATAACAGCTTCATTGAGATATAATTCACAGTCATAAAATTTATGATTTTAAACTGTACCATTCAGTGGTTTTAGCATATTCAGAGTGAGGTGTATGATCATCACTAATTTTAGAATATATTTATCACCTCGAAAAGTACCCTTTATTAGTCGTTCCCCATTTCTTCTGCTGTCACCCTCAGCCATGAAAAGTGAAAGTGAAAGTCGCTCAGTTGTGTTTGACTCTTTGTGACCCCATGGACTGTATAGTCTATTGAATTTTCCAGGCCAGACTACTGGATTGGGTGGATGTTCCTTTCTCCAGGGGATCTTCCCAACCCAGAGGTTGAACCGAGGTCTAATGCATTGTAGGCAGATTCTTTACCGGCTGAGTCACCAGGGAAGTAAGTCCAAAATACAGGCGTGGGTAGCATATCCCTTCTCCAGAGGATCTTCCCTACCTGGGAATTGAACTGGGGTCTCCTGCATTGCAGGTGGATTCTTTACCAGGTGAGCTGCCAGCCTAAGTAACCATTTATCAATCTATTTTCTGTCCCTGTAGATTTTCTCATTCTGAATATTATATATAAAGAGAACAAACAGGAATGATGCATTAATTGGACTTTTTGTAAATGACTTCTTTCACTTAGCATAAAGTTTTCAAAGTTCATCCATGTTGTACCATGTATCAATATTTCATTACTACTTTTTATGTTGAATTAATATTGAATTGTATGGTTATACCACATTTTGTTTACCTATTCATCATGGATTGTTTTCACTTTCTGGCTATAGGGATAATGCTTCTATTTACATTTGTGTACACATTTTTATGTGACCATATTTTCATTTCTGTCACATGTATACCTGGAAATGGAATTTCTAGGTCACATGGCCTTTCTGTTTAGACTTTGAGGAGCTGCCAAACTGCTTTCCCAAATGGCTGCACCATTTTGCTTTCCTACCAGCAATATGTGAAGGTTCTAGTTTCTCCACATCCACAATACTCCTTATTGTCTGTCTTTTGGTATAGCCATCCTTCTTCTTCTTGTTCAGTCTATAAGTCGTGTTTGACTCTTTGCAGTTCTATGAACTGCAGCATGCCAGGCTTCCCTGTCCTTCACTGTCCCCCAGAGTTTGCTCAAATACATCTGTTGAGTCAATGATGCCAGTCCAACCATCTCATCCTCTCACCCCCTTCTTCTCCTACCCTCAGTCTTTCCTGGCATCAGGATCTTTTCCAATGAGTTGGCTCTTTGTATCAGGTGGCCAAGGTATTGGAGCTTGAGCTTCAGTAGCAGTCCTTCTGTGAATACTCAGGACTGATTTCCTTTAGGATTGACTGATTTGATCTACTTGCTGTCCAAGGGACTCTCAAGAGTCTTCTCCAGCACAATACTGGAAAAACTATAGCCTTGACTACACGAAACTTGGTCAGCAAAGTAATGTCTCTACTTTTTAATATGCTGTCTAGGTTTGTCATTGCTTTTCTTCCAAGGAGCAAGCGTCTTTTAATTACATGGCTGCAGTTACTGTCCACAGTGATTTTGGAGCCCCCCAAAATAAAATCTGTCACTATTTCTACTTTTTTCCCACCTATTTGCCATGAAGTCCTGGGACCAGATGCCATGATCTTCATTTTTTGAATGTTGAGTTCTAAGCCAGCTTTTTCACTCTCCTCTTTCATCCTCATCAAGAGGCTTTTTTTTCTTCTTCACTGTCTGCACTTAGAGTGATATCATCTGCATATGTGAGGTTGTTGATATTTCTCCCAGCAATCTTAATTCCAACTTGTGAGTCATCCAGCCTGACATTTTGCATGATGTACACTGCATATAAGTTAAATAAGCAGGGTGACAATATATAGCCTTTACCTACTCTTTCCCAATTTTAAACCAGTTCATTGTTCCATTTCTGGTTCTAACTGTTGCTTCTTGCCCTGCATATAGGCTTCTTAGCAGACAAGTAAGGTGATCTAGAATTCCCATATGTTGAAGAATTTTCCATAGTTTGCTGTGATCCACACAAAGGCTTTAGCATAGTCAGTAGAAGTCATAGAAGTCATAAAAGTAGAAGATGTTTTTCTGAAATTCCTTTGCTTTTTCTGTGATCCAATGTCTTTTTGAATTAGTGTTTATACCCTTCAGAAAAATGCCAGGAAATAGAATTAATAGATTATATAGTAGTTCTATTTATAATTCTTTTAGGAACCTCCATTCTGTTTTCATAGTGGCTATACCAACTTACATTCTCAGCAACAGTTCCCGATGTTCCTTTTTCTCTACATTCTTGCCAACCCTTGTTAATTTTTGTCTTTTTGATCATAACCATTCTGACAAGTATGAACTAATATCTCATTTCCCTGATGATTAATGATTTTGAGCATCTTTTAATATGCCTGTTGGCCATCTATATGTCATTGGAAAAGTGTCTATTCAAG